CATGGGTTCTGTCAGACTGGCTGGTACTTAGACAAAGTGAAGAGATACAAAAAGTACAAGCTCTCTGCATAACCCAGGACTGTTCTTTGAGAACTTGAAACAGAAATATCAAGCAAGCATAACAGAGTTGATCAAACATACTAATCTGCTGAAAACCTACACTTTTTAATTTCAGAAATGTATTCTTTTGTAGAAATTAAAAATATTTACTGAATATAAAGAACAGGCAATTCAAGTCAGAAGAATAAGACAAGATATGTTATATGATTATAGAAAACTTTTAAACGTTCTCAAGCCTTTTTAATATATGGAAAATAGTTTGTGTACCTACACTTAGCTGTATTTCTAGCTCAGTCTTTTGTCCACTTTCTTCAGATTCTGCTGCAGACTGTCGAAAATAATCCTCTGCTTGGAAACTTGTATTTTCTTTCTGAGAGACCTCTGCTGTTAAGATTTTAAAAGAGGAAACAGGGAAAAGGAAAATTATAGTACCTTTATATAACAATTAACCATTCCAAATATGATCTCACTGATCTCAGGACAAATAAAAGTCTTTCTGCTAGTTTCCATGGGCAATGTTCACAGAAGTCACTGTTGAACAAACACTCTACAGTACAACTTTTACAAACTGTCAGAAAACAAAGCAAAGCATCCATACCTGCAATTTTGAGTTTTTCCCTTTGCAATACAGTGGTAATAGGTGTTCTCTGAAACCAATGTCCTGCTCCCTCCACTTCCCACAAAAGTTCATGATCCCCAGGGTACTTCTCAAAATAGTGCTTACAAGCTGAACAAACATAAGAAAAAACACACTACTATATATACTATATACTCGCCTGTACCTCAGTTTTTAAAGTTTATCTGAAATCAAATTCATTTGCAATCTTCCATCATACACATAAACCACCACAAAAAGAACTATTCAACAAAACATTCCAGTCTGAAATAAACATAATATTGCTTTACCCTACCTAGTCATCCTTCTCAATAAAGCCTTTCTTCAGGTTCAAACACTTTCCATTATTATCTTAAACTGCAAACAAAGATAGATGGGATTTTTTTTTCTTCTTCACTAAGCACCCACTTTGGAGTTTTACAACTTCACTGGTCACTGTCCCTGCCAATCACAAGACCCAACCAGGATGGAAGGGCTCTTAGACAGAGGATGTAGTCAAGTGATTTTTGTCACCTCGTGTTATTATAGGCACTTGTGAAAAGCACTCTTTGGGAACATGAACATGTTGCCATTGCATGGTTTATCATCCATTCACTGTTCACTTTTGGAATGTTTTCTTCACTGCTGTCCCTCCACCTCTTTCCTCTCAATACACATACTAAACATCCACGTGGAGAGGAATGCTTTGACATTATTCTGTAGTAGCTACCAGGAAAACTACCATTTTTCACCTGATTCACTACTGATGCATAATCTCAGTGGACGAGATCTCTGCCGTATCATTCCTTGACCAGGGAAATGGATTAGTCATTAAATTCTGCTCAAGATGGTTTGCTGGTTGAAGCTTAACAAACCAGGTCTAAACAGATCCAACAGCAGACAGTGGTTCTTGGAAAAGCAGAAAATTTCCAGTGCCTAAGTAAGAAGGCCAGATGAAAGTGTTAATAGAAGGAAGCCTGACAGATGGCCCGAGAGTAGGCCTTGAGAAACTGGACAAAGGAAATGCTTCTTGCCTGAAAACAGTCCCAAGCAACATAGTTTCCAAAATGTGTGTCATTTCCTAGCTGACATAACCTTCTTCAGTTGTTAATGGAAGAGCCATAAGTGTTTTCCTTGTACATTAGAACTGTGCTTTCTTATACCCGAGTTAAAACATAGCCTAGTATGTCCACTTGATGAGAAGTTCTGAGAAAGCATGAATTAAATGACCTTGTGAGGCTTAGGAGTGAGCAAGAAAAAGGTGCTACAAAGAAGATATACATTAGGAGATCATACACAGAAACACCTCAGCCCACTCTGGAGGCTTGGGGGGGGAAATATAGCAGTAAACTGCACAGTAGCAGAAAGCCAACAGAGATCCAATAATCTAACCTCACACAGAAGATTAAAATCTAATCAGGAAATACTTCAACAAATCAGGATTTTTAACCTTCACTGAAGAGCAAGACATTTAATACAAAAAGTGAGGATGCAGCCACAAACACGGAGCTTGAACAACAGCACTCATTTGGACATGTAAAGAAAGCACAAAGAAGATCAGAAGAATAAATCAAAGAGCTTGCCTATGTACATGAAGGATGACAGTGGGTATCGTAGGCCAAGAGTGTCTTCAGTAAAGGAATCCACGAAGTCTTCCAACATGATTAGCCCAAAGTCTTTCCCACGATGTTTCTTTCTTACAAACATTGTGTCTAGCACTGGCAGCTGATAACTCTGAGTAAGAGAAGAGCTACAAATACTTCCTGAAATAATAGGGGGGGAATCCATCAGTACATCAGCATTGACATGTTGCCGCATGGATTTTAGCATATTCAAATAAAGACCTTTATAATTTATAAAAATTATATCAAACTATATAATAAGTCATATAAATATATAAAGTTATATTAAAGTTATAAAAATAATTTATAATATTCATTAAAAATAAATAATTGCTATCAGACATTTATTGGCTCTTTGGGCAGGCTTCATAATATTGCCAAGATATATCATAGATTAATATGTTAGAAGGAGTCTGCTAAAGCAGTCTGGCAGTACCAGAAAAGAATAGCAGAGATAGAGAGGAAAGGCTCACTTTGAAATCTCACTGTACAATTCCATAGGAAAACCACACTAAAAAAAGAAGCTGAAAAAGGGAGGAGGGAAAAGGAGACAATAAAATTCTTGATTTGCACTTTTATGTAGATTATATAACTCCTCGGGACAAATATGAAGACTATGATTCAGCTCTTGCTTAAGGACTGAAACAGTAATTCAAATGTTTTAAATTAAACCACAAAAAATCCTAGGATGCTTTACATTGAAATTCTCCCATAAATAATACATTATCCATAATTAAATGAAGATGAAACAGACTGTCACAACACACATGTACTTCAGCATCAGAGGATTCAAAGGGTAGCTATGGACTCAGTGGTGACAAAGTGATGCCATATAATGGCATTAAGATAGCATGTCAACTATCCAATCCATTTTCAGACCCTCATTTTGCCAGTCAGTGCAAATAATGTAAAAAAAACCCAACCAACCAAACAAACAAAAAACAAACAAACAAAAAATTAAAAATAGCCCTTTCCTCTAACGAGGCCAAAGAGGAGCATACAGTCATCTATACAACATAGTTTGTCTTCGCAACCTTGTACTTTTGAGGCCAATGAACATACTTATCTTCATTTTTCAAGCAAGGAAACTGTGGGCAGAGAGATTAAATTACTTGGGTAACCTTTGGGATACCAGTCAAACTCCACTACTCCTTCCTAATCATCTGTATCCAGAGCTGTCTTCCTCCACATGGGCTACTCATTTGGAGAATATATCACACAATCAAATATGGGTGAAATATCAATACTGCCTTCAGTGTTTGCTAACTCAGGACAAGTAAATGGGAGAGCATCATGAAAACTATAACAAATGAGCATGAGTATAGCAAAACTTCAGTGCCACATAAACAAGCGTCCCCATTCTAGACTAAAAATAGAACCACTACTCTAATTTCCAGCTTTATAAGGCCACAACAAAAAACACTGCAATGCAAATAATACTTGACCTCGGTGCCAGGGAAGGTTATGGAGCAGATCATCCTGAGTGCTATCACAAGGCACGTACAGGACAACCAGGGGATCAGGCCCAGTCAGCATGGGTTTATGAAAGGCAGGTCTTGCTTGACTAACCTGATCTCCTTCAGGTGACTCGCTTAGTGGATGAGGAAAAGGCTGTGGATGATGTCTACTTGGGCTTTAGTAAAGCCTTTGACACTGTTTCCCACAGCATTCTCCTGGAGAAGCTGGCTGCTCACGGCTTGAAAAGGCATACACTTCGCTGGGTAAAAAAAACTGGCTGAATGGCCAGGCCCAAAGAGTTGTGGTGAATGGAGTCAAATCCAGTTGGCGGCCAGTCACAAGTGGTGTTCCCCAGGGCTCAGTATTGGGGCCAGTTCT